TAGTACTCTAGCATATGGTGTGAGTGTAAAAAATATGTCTTTTAAATATGTAAGTCTTCATTGTATATGAGGAAGCAGTTTACAGTATAATTATAGTAAATGGCTTCACACATTAAAATAATAATGGAAAAGTTGATAATTTCTGCTGAACCAAATCAAAATACAGGCCATGCTAACAATGTCTGCATATTGGGTTGGATCCCATGGATCTGCTCTACTGCCAGATTGCCCTTTCCGCTGGAGTAAAGTACCTCCACTAATTAAGTAGAAATATGGAATCCAGAATTACGTATCAGGCTCTGTGTATTCCATGATACAGAACAAAACCCACCAAGAATTTGGTATAAAATACAGAATTTATTTAACAAAACCTTCCTTTACTAAAAGTGTGTTTTGGCATAGAAGGATTTTTTTAAAAATCTCCAGGTCTGTGAGAGGTAGGTATGACTAGGGTCAGGAGTCAAAAATTGGCCAAATATTTTTAAACCATTAACTGTAACAGCAGCAAAAAGTAATTTAATAAAAGGTTTGATACTCTTGCTAATCCAAAAAATTATCATTTATTATGAAAACGAAGTGACTTTTGAAAAAAGCAGGTTAAATTTTTGTTGGTTTTAACCATCTTATGTAACATTTCTATTAAGAAAGATACGCTGAGCAGTTCTTCTCTTTCCTTGGAAGACCAAGGTTAGTTGATAGACAACAATTTTTTTTAAATTAAGCTTAAAACAGAGGTAAAGTAATAGGTATCAAAGCTTTTAATAGCAGTAATGCTAAATAGGCCATTTTACAGTTTGGAAGTACCTGTAGTTATAGCAAGTGGCATTGGAAGAACTTTGTTTTGCTGTTAGGTCTTCTCCAGATAATTGCTCTGCATTCTTAGTTAGCAGAAAATGTATGCAAAATGATCCATCAATGTCTTTAAGAGAATAGCTAAAATCTTTCAAAGTGTTGGTTTTGTGGGGAAGACAAAGACGACTGCTTACAGTTGTGGTGGAATCGTGTAAGGGCCAAGAGATGTGGGAAATGATGACAAAGAAGTTGTCAGTAACATTTAGTACTAACCTACAAATTACCATTCAGTTATTTTTTTCTTAATTACGTTGCTGCAATGACAAAAGTTTACCAGCATGGTGCTCTTTATCTTTTTTTTTAATTGTATTTTTCCATGTTACAATCAAGCACATCCCTATTCCCACACATATTGTATTCTCTACCCTCCCTCCTCCTTCCTCAAAGTTTATAACTGTTTCTGTGTCTTCAGCGATAGTCCTTTATATAGATCCTCCTTCTGTCCTTCTTGCTTCCTCTGTTTCCTCCCGTCCTTCACACTTTTCTTCTTCCTTTTTCTCTTTAAATTCGTAGCTGAAGATTATTCCTGTTCTGTAATCAGAGGTGGGGAGTTTTAGTATAACTTGGATGGTTATTTTTCTCACATATTGTTCTTCTGCCTTTTCTTATTTCCTATCCCCCCCCCCAACTATTTATCCTTTCTAGCCAGGGGCACAAACTTAAGAGCTTCCACTGAACGTCCGACCTTTGACTTTCCATGACCCATTTTAAATACAAATGCCACTTTTTCTTAATCTTCCCTATTTTTGCTTCCCATTGTTCTTCTTGGTTAGTAATAGTTATAATGTCTGATTGAATGTATTCAAATAAATAATTCTGCCAATTTACTACTGTCCATTTGGTTTTATCTTTCCATCCAAATGCTATTACGGCTTTCCCAGCTAACACCATTGCTTTAAATAAGTCCTGTCCTCCTTTTCCAATGCCTTGATTTCCTAAAGTGCTGCTTAGCATCAGTTTCAAGTCTATCTTCGGCCTTATTGTAAAGAACTTATAAAGCTGCTCTGTCACTTTCTCCCAGAAACTCTGAACTTCTCTGCACTCCCACCACATATGGGAATACCATCCTTTCCCATTCCTGCAATGCCAACAGTTTGAACTTATTTGTGTACCATTTAGTATAAAATTTCAATCCCAATTCTCTAAATTTATGTACTTTTATTTCCTGTATACCTTCTATAATTCTATTAACTGTTTGATCCGCTAAGCGCGTTTCTGCACTCCATTTCCCCTGAATAAGGGTTCTTATTTG